TAGGGGTGATATGGGGTTCATGGGATGCCCTAAGTTTGACCAAAGAAAGAAAGGAAAAAGGGAAATAACAACAAACAAAAGGTTTTGGTTTACACACTCTTATTTTCTGCCATAGGCTAAAAATAAGTGTAGGAAAACATTATTTTGAAAGGAATTAAATGACAAGGAACTTTGGATGTTTAGGGAAGGAATGGGGGGGTGTTGGTTCGGCCTAGGTGGGGTGTACGACAGCCCTGGTGTTGGTTTGGGCTTTAGGGAAGGGCGAAGGAGTGGATTCAACCCTAATAACGTCACCAGACTTTGGATTTATTCCCCTGATCCGTCTTTCCTTTTGTGGGCTAAGGAAAGTCTCCGTTGATGCTCCCGGATATCTAACATTTCTGTTTGTCATTGATCTATTTCGATCTCTTATGTTCTCTCATTTAGGTCGATGACTGGGAGAGCGACCCTGCAGATGTTGACCTTTATGATAGAGATGATGTGGATTGAGACGGACAGTATTCAAGTGGGAGGAGAAGGAGATCTGAACGGGATGGTGTTGTATTGGATGTTGATTCGTTTACGAGAAGGCTGAGGAAACCATCATTGGAGACCCAGGAAGAAATGAATCAACGCATGCGCTCAGTTGAAATGGCTGTGAAGGAGGCTCTATTGGCAAGACGAGAATCCCAATTCACAGATCAAGAATTCCCCCGCTGGTGACCGCTCATTATTTGTTGATCCAGATAACCCTCCTTCAAAACTGCAGGTGAGTTGCACTGGCAACAGTTTGGAATGGATTTTTTGGGGCATGATTTCCATTTTCTGGAGCATGGCATATCCGTACAAACCTACTTTGGCAGAACTCACAATAAATTTTGTTTGAAGGTTGTTGCTGCATGGATGAGGCCCATTGAAATAGTTGAAGAGAATCAGCTTGTTTCTGGTCCGTGCCTGTTTTCTGGAGCAGCAAATTCTTCAGATGTTTGCCAGGTTTTGCCAAAAAAATAAACTAATTATGCTGTATTGCTATATAAAACTTGTGATCTTATCTATTTCCAAAGTCTTTCTTTGGACTTTCCCCTACAATTTCCTTTCCATGGAGACAAATCACTTGTGTGTTTGTGTGTGTATATTACCATATTAACGTTGCCACTAAAACATTTCAGGGACGACTGGGTGATTGTTGGTTTCTGAGTGCAGTTGCTGTTTTAACTGAGGTTTCACGAATATCGGAAGTTATAATTACACCTGAATACAATGAGGAAGGAATATACACAGTTCGTTTCTGTATCCAGGTGAGCCATCATTCATATATGTAAAATTATTAAGAGAAGTAAAGATCTAGCTTCCTTGGAGACTAGGACTTTCCAAACATATGAAATCATTGGGGTGACATCATCGTAATGGCATCACCTAATGATTATATTTTCTTAACTTTTATGTGTAAATGACTATATATAGACATAGAGCTCACCTGATATAATTATGGAATGCAAGTGAATAAACATATACATATTTCACTTGGTGTTTCTC